TATTCTTCATCTACTGATGTCCTTAAAGAGGTCAGCAACTAATTTATCAATTTACTTCCTTTATAATTTCCAAAAATATTTTCCTGGAGTTATACCAAATTATGTTACTTTTATACAATCCTTCCCTGTATATTCCAAAATCCATGATCAAAACAGACTGGAAAAGAGCCATACCATTCTTACTGAGGATTCTAGAAAATGAAGTCCTAGGGGTGTGTGTGTGTGTGTGTGTGTACACACAGATACAGATACATGAAAGAAACAGTGCTTTAAATGTAGGTTTAATTTAAAATCTAGGTATTGCTTTAAAAAAAAGGATGTCAGAAAATTAGTATTTACTACTTTAAAAAATGTCAGTGACCTAGGAATGTGGTGAATTCTTAGCTCATAGTAGGAATCATCTATGGCAAATGCATATACCACAGAAATTTCCACTACTAAGCAATGATCTCTTCTCCATCTCTTACTCATTCTTATTTGCAGCCTGTCATTTTACTTCCTTTCCAGCTTATATTCCATGGTCCAGCCTTTCAAAGACTCTCTTTCCTAAGCACCCTTGTCCTACAGTCCTATAGTTTCATCTACTTTGTAGCCACCCATCCTATTTACCTTCTCCCGGCCTACACCCAAACTCTTAAGTGCAGCTGAGAGGAATACACACACTGTATCTTCGGAGTCACCAATCTCATCTAGGCACTCCACACAATTTAGCAATCCTATCATGCTTCTCTTGTCAACTCACTTCCCCACTTTCTGCCAAGACCAGTTACACTTTGTCCATTTTCCTTGAAACTGCTACCCTATCTCAGTAGATGTCCTTCCTGACTTCACAGAGAAAACAGAAGCTGTCAGAGAATCACCAAATCAACTTCTTGTGACTACATCCACAAACTTACCTGCACCCATCCTTCCCTTTTTCCCACTTGATAAATGAAAAGATGGCTCTCCGTGTAATGCTACCTGTACCTGGATCCTACCTTTTCCTTCTCCATCCGGACCTTGAGCTATGGATTATTTACTATGTCTTGTCCACTGCCCACTCCCACAGCCTCTTTCTTCCTACCAGCATCTTTTCATTAACACTTGGATATATTCAAGGCTCTTGCATCCTGCCTTCTTCATTTCATAGCAAAACTTCCTCAGAAAGTCATCCTCATTCTATGCTCCCTTTCTTCATTCTTCTATTTATGCTGCATTTCCTGCAATCTGGCCTTTGTCCCACCATTCCATGTTCTCACCAGAGTATTCCTAGCTTTAGGTAAATAAAACAAACATTGTTTTTTCCTCCTACTTCTTTCTTAGTCTTTTTGTAGGTTCCTGTTCCACTTCAACATAAATGAGTTCCTCAAGGTTAGGTTCTGGGTCTCTTCTTGCCCCACTCTACACCTTCTCAAAATGTGACGTCTGGATCAGCAGCACAGATCACAGATCAACTGAAGAAAAAACTCTGCGAGTGAGCCCAGAAATCTGTATTAAACCTTCTAGCTGATTCTGATCCACTCTAAAGTTTGAGAATTACTGTCCTAGACAATTTGATCTACACCCTTTTGCCGCTGATTATAAATTTATCTCTCCAGCCCACCCATCTCTTCCAAGATCCAACAGCCAGCTTGACCTGGCTATCTCACTGGTGTCTCCTATTCAACATGTGCCTAACAGACCACTCAAAACCTCTTCTTTTGTCTCCCAACCAGATCTTGAGCATTCCCTTCCTCATATGATACTCATCCCATTGCTCCAGCCAGAACGTGAGTATCAGCTTTAAGTCCTCCTAATTCCTCTCCCACCACCGCTGCCCAATGCAATCACCAAACCACATAAATATATCTCAAATTCATCTACCTTTTTCAATCCTTACTACCACCACCCTAGACCAAGCTACCATCATCCATTATCTGGCCCACCATAATAGCTTAATCAGTCTTCCCACAACCACTCCTGTCCCCCTCCACGTCTTTCTATATCACTCACTTGGTTAAATGGTCTTTTCACTTCTCTCTGTCCAAAGGTTCAAGAACAAGATCCTTAAGGTTTCTAATGCCCTATAAGATCTGGTAATACATGTAAAGTAGTTGCAAGAGTACCTGGCACAGAGTACACTCATTAAATGTTACCTAATATCTCAGGCTATTCCCACTCTCTATTGTAGCCACATAACTTAGTTCAAGTCTTTCAAGTTATTATATTCTTTTTCACCTCAGCACTTTAGTAGAAAGTGTCCCATACCCATCTTATTCATCCTTTATATCTCAGTAGTTTTTTTTTTACATTCCCCCAACAAAATAAGAAATCTTACTGTTACATGGTCCCCAAACATCCTGCACTTATTTGTAATAGCTACTACACTGCTATTATGTAAACAGTGTCTGTCTTTCTCACTAGAATGTAAATTCCATGACAACCAGCACTGGATTGATCTTACTACTGCTGTTAACCGTGTACCTAGCGGAGTGCCTGGCAGGTAGCAGGTAGTCATTAAATGCTGGCCAAGTGAACACATATTATTCACTTCCTCTTTCAAAAACTTTCTCCTCCTTGATTTCTATTACACTCAGCTTTTCTGGTTTTCTTCTTCTATCTCTGACTACTCTTACTCTGGTTCATCCTCTCAGCTCTGTCATTCTTGGTATTGCCCAAGTATCTGTCCTTGTCTATCTTCTTTAGTTCTGCATCCAATTCTCCCTTGGTTATCATCTATGTATCATGTTTTTAACTATCACCTCTAGGCAGATGCTTTTGTGTTTATCACCACTCCAATCTCACTTAAGCTCAAATCCCACATTTCCAATTGCTTAGTAGATATGTCTACCTGGTTGCCCTAATGGTATCTCAAATTCAGTTAAGACTAAAACTGAGATTATGAATACCTTCCCCCAAAAGTTCCTTGTCCTGCACTTTTTTCAATGAATGACACACTCTCTGCTATTCCAGCCTGAGGCCTACATCCTTCCCTCACAGAGGCCTCTCTTATTCCTTATTACCAAGCAATCAGCAGGCCTTCCCTATGGATTCTGACTCTGTAACATTTCTCACATTTGTTCCATTTTTCACTCCCACTGCTACTACTCAAATTCATGTCTTTATAAATTTTATTATAGCAATAATCTAGTTATTCTCCTTGACTTCAACACTGTTGTCATACTAATGTTCCCCACATTTTTCTTTCTTTTTCATTTTCTTGCTCAAAAATTAAAACTTCCTACTGTCTTCAAAATAAAGCCCAATTTCTTCACCTACCATTTAAAAAGACTCCTTAACTGGCACAAAAACTTTAATCTTCATATAGATTTTCCTTACAACAGAGCCATTAGCTGGCCTTGACACCTCTACTTACTCTTCTCTCTGGGAAGCTTTTTACCCATTTTTAGATGTCCAAATTCTATGTTCAAATATTATTTCTCATGAGGATTCTATTCACCAATGGTGTGTCCTTTTCCACCCCAAATACTACTAATAATCTCTCCCTCCTACGATATCTCATATAGTGCTTTCTTGTGGTACTAGGACTTTCTACTCTGAACCATACTTTTTTTTTTTTAAGTGTTATATTCCCTATAAAACTGAGTACTTTAAGGGGGGAGGAGTCTATATTTATCTTTTTGACTATCACTTTGCTGGTGATTAGGGTTCAAAGTAAAGTATAATGGCCTTTTCCCTCCTTCTTCACAATTCTAACCATTTACAAAGTCCCTTTGCAAAGAGCAATAAGAAACTCAAACTCACCTTCCCTGCACCTCCTGCCCCCCCAAACCCCTCAAACATCAAAAAAGCAACAGGAAAAGCAATGTAATTCCAATACTAGAGATTTGTACTATGTTCCTATCTGCAATACTCTCTTCCCAATCCTTTACCTGGCTTAAATTCATTAATCCCACTAGACTGTAACTCTATGAGGGCAAGGGCTTATTTTATTTAGTTATATATCTAGTGTTTAAAAATTAGGCTCTCAAAAATATTGAATGAATGAACTAGGTTTTGTTTAAACATCACTTTCTGGGGCGTCCGTGATCTCAACAACCTAAATTGGATATTCATAATGCTTTGCCCTAGATCCCATTTCTCACCCTACATGCCAATCTTAAAAAAAAAAAAAGTCCAAAGTTGATCATCTATCTGCATGTGCGTGCACAAGATAAAAGAAACTGAACCTATTCACACCGAGTGCAATATTAGGGTTGCCATGTCATAACGGCTCTAGAAAGCTTTGCCCTCTATGTCTTTGAAAGCTCTTGCAACCCCTTCCAATAAAAATCCTTTTCAAGATGCTGCCCATTTCAATCCTCTACTGGATTCTTGGCCCTGGGTTACACTGAAATCTTAGGGACACGTCTGGAAACGCAGGGGAAGCGGAAAAACCACGATTCCAGGATTCCAAATCAACCAAGTGACAGAGAAGCTGAAAAGGGACAGAAGACGCTCAGAAATGGAATGCCAATCCTTTGATCAAAACATGACACCGAAGGCCTAGCACGGGGTAAGGTCTTTGAGGAGGGAGCCCGAGAGAAGATAAGAGGCGGAAAGAGGGAGCGGCACAGAGAAGTCGCCAAAACCTTCCGAGAAAGGTCCGAGACAGGGTTCCAGGGACCTAGTCCCTGGGGCCGTGCCTCAGCCGACAAGCCCTAGCCCTTTAACACCCTAGGAGGAAACAACCCTCGCTGAAGGGAGAGAGCGGTCAGCCTGGAGCACGCGACCGCCCGCAAATTACGAGGTTTCCCCATAAGGAGCGAGGAAACTAAGACCCCACGCAACTACTCTCCCACCTCGCCCCTCGCGGAGGTCTCGAGCCTCCCAGAGGCGGCTGGGAGCCGGCTGGCTCGTCACAACTCACCGCTCCGCCCCGCTGCTCCGTCCGTTCCCGGAGGCCCCTTCCGAACCGCTCCCGGAACTAGCCGGCTCCCAGTAAGGGGAAACAAAGGTTCCTGCAGCAGCGTGAAGAGGGGAACTTTTTGGCTGTGCGACGGTAGGAAGTGACGTAACCGTCGGTTTCCGGTCCGCCGGATTATGAATGACGGCCGACGCGGCTGTTTCCAAGACACTGTGCCTGTTGTTGCTCTCCCGGCCTTTCTGGCAGCCAGTGGTCCGTGGGAGAAGACTCGCAGAAGCTGCCTCGGAAACCTGGCTCGCGCGGGGTGGGTAGGCGCAGGAGGCTTGTGTCGCTGACACGCTCACGCACCCTCCCTGCCTGGCCGCGCCTCTGCGACCAGGTAAAGAGGGCGCTCAGGCCGCCGGCTCCGCAGTCCCCCTGACCCCCCCTGAGTACTCTTGGCATCCGGAGGCGACAGGGCTGACGCTGCGGGATGGGGAGGACGGGGATGGGAAGGGCAAGGGCGTGGAATTAGTGGCCCGATCTTTCTCCAGCCGCTCAGTCTTTTAGACAGTCACAGCTTCTGAGAGAGCTGGTCGAGGGCTCCGGGCCCCTTCTCAGGTTTCCCAGGGCCAGTCCCCGTGGCTTCTTCTGCTGAGGGGGGAATGGAGCAGCTTCTTTTTGCAGGAGTTTGTGGGGTCGTTTGCCGTTTGCTGCTAAGTGTAGTTTTTAAGACCTTTTGGCACCTTTAACTTTTTTTCTCTTTGGCACTTAGTTTTTCATTCCATGCCTTCCTGGTTGGAGAAAGCAGTTGTATGTGAATACTGCTTAACAGTTGCTACAAAGGACTTGCTTTGGGGCCATTCGTTTCTGTTACACTATCAAAGCAGTGTCTCAGTTCGGTTTTAAACTTCTGCGTAGAAAGTTTGAGTTAAACTTGCATGAACATTGCTTTGGCTTCAGAAGCATTTACTAACACCCACACTTCCCATCCCAACTCTACCTGGTTTGGGATTAGGTGGCTCGTTTTTTCCCCTTTATTCTTAAGCCCGAGGTCCCATTTCTTGTCATAAATTCTTGAATATCAAGGAAATGCCAGCATTTGATAATATATCTTGTGCTAAATTATTGATTTAATAGAGTAGTACTTTTTCTAAGTTTATCTATAGAAAAAGTATTAGAGAAAATGAAAAAGCTGGCAAGAACTAGTGATGTGGCAATTGTAAACATGGTCATTTAAATATTGTGGAAATAAATTTTGTTATAAATACAACTGAATGATTTGCTGTTTATGTAATAAATCAGACTTTAAGCTATGTGAGTTTTTTTTCCTTAACTCTGGTGGGGAGTATACATTACTAAGAGGATTGCCTTAGGGCATGCATACTCACTACGTGAAATTATGTTTGAGTTATACCTGAAGACATTATTTTACGAGGTCTAACTTTAAAAACAAGTCTGTAATGAGATCGGTGAGATTTGAGAATTATTTTTATCAGCTTTTCTTTTACTATTTTTTTACACTTCTATATGTTTGCCTGCTTTAAGCGAAGCTCAGACTTGAACTTCTGTAATATTGGGTCCATCAAGTTTAAAAACACCACCACCAACCTGTGTTTACTTTGTAGCTTTGGTATCACCTGTGATTTGAAATAAGAATACTGAGTATCCAGTTAGCCTTTCTAATAGCAACAATTAAGCAGACCTTGAAACTTAAAAATTCTGTAGGCCAGTCAACTAAAACACCTGTAGTATATACAATTCCTTAATATAAGTTGTTTATATCTTCAAATATTCAAAGTAGCCTACTGAATTCTGTTAGGATTAGTACTTAGAATACAAGGATTTAAACCATTTAGATCATAACAAGCATAGATATTGTTTGCTATGGGGATTCAGTAATTTTATTTCAGGCTTGCTGACACTTCTGACATGTTAGCATTTTATGCTGTGATCCCTATTAATTATGAGGTCAGGTTTAGCCGCAAGTATTATGATTCTGTGGCAGCAGATGATTTCCTGATTCACCATAGAGATGACACATTTCTCTTATGGCTAAAGTTGCAGTAAGCTTTTTCTCTCTTAAACAGTTTCTCCCCCCTTTTTGCACAGATAAGAAAACAGCTAATTTTAAATATTGAACTTTGTCCTTTAACACTTAACTATATGCATCCCCACATTACATAATAATAATGAGCACTGAAGCAGCTCAGCTTTTTTTCTTTCCTTATTTAACCTTTACTATCTAAGGTAATTAGCTGCTATCTAACTCTGTAGGGGCAAGCTTTTATATATATAAAATATAGATAGTAAGAAAATAGGGTGAGATTGCAACCAAATTGTGTTATTTTGTGAAATGTATAAAACACAATCTAAGTTCCAATATTCATAATATTGAACATTGGTTGTGGTAAGGAATTTAAATGGGTTTAAATTTTAATCTTTCAGAAAAATGTAATTTCATACCTGCAAACTGTTGAACTATTTATTTTGTACAATATAAGCGGGTATTTGCTTAGGGTATCACATATTCTGCCATTTTGTGACTTCCTGTCACAGTAACAAACCAGTTTTTTTCAGTACTTGCGGGGGCGGGGAGTCTTCAATTAGATATGAATCCCTTATCTTTCATGAGAAGTTTGGAAATATAAAGCATAATTTGTGGCTTGCCAGTCAAAATTCGTTTAATAGTGTTAATAGATAAGGAATTTTGAGATAAATTACAAATGAATAATAATAGCTAGTATTTATTTACAGGCTTACTAATGTGATAAGCATTGCTAGGTTCTCACAGCACACTATGGTAAATCTGATATTACTGTCCCCATTTTATAAATGAGGAAGCTAAGGTACAGAAAAGTTCTATATTGCTATTAAATAACAGCACCAGGATTTGAACACAGTCAGCTCCAGAGTCTAGGCTCTTATCCATTATTTTTCTTGGTGTATAAATATTCTACTTGCTAAGTAAGTATATAAAATCTAGTTAGGTTCCTAGTTCTCCTGACTCAATATCTGTATATACAAAAACTATACTTTCTTTACAAGTTTAGATGGATTCAAGTTATACTTTTTCCAATTCCAATCACAGAGGTCACCTTGTTTCTTCATTTCAATTTATACATAGTTGGCTCTTAAAATAGATTTATTCATCTGGAAGAATTGTGTAAAGAAGAATGAGGCTAATGTACCAAGACTTAAGTTCTCAATAGTATTGTCATTACAATGATTACTAATACTTGTTTATGTACATTCATTCATTTATTTCTTAAACTAAAATTTGAGTACTCTTAAGCATTGGAGATAAGAGGTTGGGTAGTAAGTGCTAAAAAGAAAGAAAGAAAAAAAAAACGGATAAAAGCCTAGGAGGTAATAGGAGTGCTTTTGCAATTCAGGTTGTCAGGGAAGGCTGCTCCTGAGTTACTATTCAGAGATCTCAGTGAAATGAAAGGGGGAGTAAGCTAGGCATAAGAACAGCAAGTACAAAAAAACTCTCAACTGGGAGGTTCCTGGCTTCTTCCAAGAACAGCAGGGAGAACTAGCTGGAGAGGAGTGAGCATGAGGGAGCAGAAGTAGGGGAGCAGTTCAGAAAAGGATAGCTAGGGTCATGGTAGCCATAGGCTATAATAGGAAATTTGGATTTTATTTTAACTGTTTTGGGGAGCCATTGGATGGTTGTGAGCCGGGGGTGTGAACTGACTTAAATATGTTTAAAGGATCACCCTGACTATTGGAGAATGGAGAAAAATTGTTAACAGATGTTTGTATTAGTCTCTATAAACTTAGTTTATATGACTTAGGTTAGGTTGATAGTAGTGGAGGTGCTAAGAAGTTGGATTTAGCATATATTTCAAAGGTAGAAATAGTAGCTTTTATGAGAGAAAAAGTTGAGTGAGACTTCAGAATTAAGGGCCTGACCATGTGGGTGAATGATGTTGTCATTTTATCCATAAGGGGACTACTAAGGGAGGGAGAACAGGTTTAGAAAAATGTCCAAGGGAAGATGTCAAGTAGCATTTGGGGTCTGAAGTTCAAGGGGAATGATGTGATTGAGATAAAAATAGGAGTCATAGATTATATTTATACCTGTGGTATTGGAGATCACCTAGAATAGTACTGTTATATTGTGAGTTGTGGCCCATTAATGGGTCATGAAATCAATTTAGTGAGTACTAGCCAGCTTATTTATTTGTTTGTTTATATATTTTAGAGAGATGGAGTGTGCTGGAGCATGAGTACAGGGGAGGGCCAGCCCCCCCCCCCACAGGGGGAGGGAGGAGGGGCAGAGGGAGAGAGAATCTCAAGCAGACTCCCTACTGAATGGGGATCCCGAGGCAGGGTTCGATCTCATGGATCTCATGACCCATGAGATCATGACCTGAGCCAAAATCAAGAATCAGACCCTTAACCACTGAGCCACCGAGGCGCCCCCTAACCAGCATTAAAAAAAGGGGGGGAGGGGGAGGAGGAACGGAAGGAAGAAAAGCACAGAATAAAAAATATCAGATATATCCCATGTAGTAGGATATTTCTTCATGATCCTTTGGTTTCAGTTTTATTCGTGATCCTTTTCGCTATAATGAATTGCATAATAAAAGTCTTACTGTGTTGCATGATGAAAAGGTTGAATACCAGTGATCAAAGGAGTGAGTGTAATTGAGAACGGGGCAAAGCACTGAGCCACAGATTGCTAAGAGGTTTGTGGAGGATCCAATAAAGGGAATCAGGAAGGAACTACCAAAAAGCTTCATTGTCAGATGATTGCTTTTAGAACAGAGGTTTTTATCAAGGATTACTGAGACAGCACAATTGCATAGAATAATGTAATTTCTGATGAGTTTCACTTTCGTGAAATTGTTGCTGCAATAAAATTGCAATATGCTTCACTTTCTGAAATTTTAAGTTTATAAAATAGTGCTATTTATATGAGAAAAATAGCTATTCCTAAATGTTTTCAGATAAGATTCCTTTATAGATTCAATTAATGCTTTTGTATTGATGGACAGTTCTCATCCATGTAATGGAATTAAAACGTACTTGTAAGGATTGTGAGGATTAGAAGTAATGTATAAAAGTTGTGTGTGTTTAGCACATAGTTGGTGGACAATAAAGTGTATGTGATATTATTAGAATTGTATTTTTTGTTCAGTCATTTAACATTTATTAAGCTCCTGTGAAATTCCAGGCACAGTGATAATTTCTTATTTGATAAACAATATTTTGTTGCATGGTACACTTTTTGGTCTTTATCTATTAGGTAATAGATAACTTAGCTATTTATCCATTATGTAATATTTGGTAGCCCTAGATCCAGACTTGAATTTTGAGCACAAAACTGTCAAAATTTTTTCAGCTTCTGAACAAGTATGCTTATTTTTTTCCTTTTTTAAGATTTATTTATTTTAGAACGAGTGAGAGTGCATGCATGTGAGTGGGAGAGGGGCAGAGAGAGATGGAGAGAAACTCAAGCAGATTCCTCACTGAGCTCGGAGCAGACACAAAGCTGGATTTCACAACCCTCAGATCGTGACCTGAACCGAAACCAAGTCAGTCGCTTAACCGAGGCCACCCAGGTGCCCCCAAGGATGCTTATTTTCAGTACATTTATTATGTTTTTTCTTTGTCTGTCTTTACATATCCATATGCATGAAGTAAAATACTAAAATGGTTTTAGATTTTAAAAACCCTGTGAAACTCATTTACCCTTTCATATGTGAAATATTTCAATTTATCAACACCAAGATATATTAATTAGAATGAGAATACAACAATAAAAGGTGTAAATGCCTAAAATGTTAAACCCATGACTACTTCAGTTGTGTTTAAAAATGTGTTTGAAGGGGCACCTGGGTGGCTTAGTTGGTTAAGCACCCAATTTTTTATCTCAGCTCAGATCTTGATCTCAGGCTCATGAGTTCAAGCCCAGTGTGGAACCTACTTTAAAAAATATGTATATCTTTGAAGATTCACAAGTAATGAAACCAGGTTTAAATATTTTCTTTTTATCTCTATATTCCCTCTGCAACATTTCCAAACAAACTGGCATGTCCAGGGAAGAGATGTATATTCCATCAGCTCTGTTCAGCTCCTATGTCTGTGGTTTTATCTGCTGCTTTCTCACTCTGTCTCAGGAGTAGTGGCAGTGTGGCACCTGTCACAGCTGAGCAGATGACACTACTGTGCATGGCAGGAATGTAATATGGAGTAACAGGAGCTGCCCCAGAAACCCTGGAGACCCAGAAGATGATTCTCCAGTACCTATCTTTGTAAAGCACATGACATAAAAATAATAATGTAAGGAACCTCTAGGTAGAAATGGAGAAGAAAAAAAAGAGAAGAGGGTTTTCTTTTGCCTATGATGTCTGCAGACTTAAAGCAAAAACTATGTTCTACTCTCTTGAAAAATTAAACACATGTACAAACCAAACACATACAATAAATTTGTACAGGTTTGCTAATACTTAATATTTATTTTAGAAATTACATTAGTATTTAATGGGAAGAAATTGCCCAGGGGGAGTCATTTTTTTAACTCCACGATTATTAAGTAACATTTTTAATCTTCCAGGAAAAAACAAAACAAAACAAAAAAACACCAACATCTATATTGGAAAAATAAATTATGTTAAGAATCAACAGTACTTTGCATTTTCTCTCCGGCATCTCATTAATTTTTAGATATCTCCATGGGCAGGTTATTGCTCTTCTATTTTGTTGACATTTAGCATTTATTAAGTGCTCACAGTGACAAAAGTTTATAGAATATGTAAAAGCCTATTGTCAAGGTTCTTATTTTTATATGCCTTGGAAAGTGGCAAATATACATGTACTCTAATTTCTGCATACCCTAAATCACAAGCTGTAAAATAGCACGACATTGTTTTAGTTTTGTTTGTTTTTTTTGAGAGAGTTAGCAGGACTAGTCTCATAATTACTATTTCCTAGACCGCTGGGCAAATGAGGAAATCTATCACGTTTTCTTTCAAATCTGCTTCTTGAAGCACATAGGGATCTTCTGTATCATATCCCACTATCAGCAGAGGGAGTTAAGAAGATCAGTAAATTATTAGCAATAGATTTACAGGAGGAAACTCTTCAAGGAAATTATTAATTTCCTAGAAAATGTGGTTTCTTTTGCCTGTGAGCTTTAATAAGCACCCTTTAATATTTTGTTTTAAAGTAAATCACGGGTGCAAAAAAAATTAAAAAAAAAAAAAGATAAGCTAGGGAGAAAATGGTTTCCATCGGTTAAAAAGTTGTTGCTTCTAAATCACATGAAATAATTTTCCTCTAGATAATCTTTTAAAGAAGTAACAAACCATGGTGCAGATCTGTTATGTTTTTAATAAAAGAAATATAAAACAGTAGTGATTACTTGCATTATCAAGAGGTTCATACTTTACTAACTATATCCTTTTGTTATACTGAATTATAAGCTCTTTAACAAAGAAGCTGAGGACCAAGACACTTAAAGATATTTGACTACCTTGCTTTTGATCCCCCTCAAAAAACCCTAAGGAATTTAGAATATAAAGGAAATTTAGTATGTTGACGGTTTCCTAAATTTCAGAGTACACTAATATTCCAAATACACTTAAAGAGTTGCAGGTGTACTTTTTAAAGTCTTTTAAAATAATTTTTCCTCTACTGTACAGTCTTCCTAGTACAGGTTTCCATGGTGAATGCTTTTAAAGAGTGCCATCTAGTGTTAACTTTGGAATTGTGATTTATGGATTAGAACCTGGGGAATTTTAGACCCAGGAAATGTAGAAATCAGTTATCATAGTTGACAAAATTATTAAGGAATATGACTTGAAAACACCCATCAGTAATTTGACCTCAAGATTGTGTATGTCTGCATCTTTAAAATAACCAGCGTGTGTATTCATGCATTCATTCAACAAATAATCCTTAATTATGTGTGTGTGTGTGTGTGTGTGTGTGTGTGTGTGTGTGTGTGTGTGTATCAGGCCATGTTTTAGGCAAGGCAGTAAATAAAACAAAATTCTATTCTCATAGAACATTATTTGTGTGTTACCAGTTTGAAGTGTGAAGAAAAACATAGAATAGTGTTTTCAGGGTGGGTAGAGGTGGAGTTTTCAATTTAAATACAGTAGCCAAGGATCATCTCAGCAAGAAGTTGATATTTAAATAAATACCTGAAAGAGGTGAGGGGCTGTTCCAGGCACTGGAAACAAGTGCAAAAGCCCTGAGGTGGGAATGTACCTAGTATTGTAAAGGAATAACAAACCGCTTTGGCTGGAGCAGTGAGTGGTGAGACCAAGGGGATCTTTAGGCCCTTGTAGGAGCTTTGCCTTTTCTCTGAATAGGATGGGAAGATATTTGTTTGAGTAGAGGAGTGACATGATCTTCTTACTCCGTTTTTGACAGAATCACTTTGGATACTATGTTGAGAAGAGACTAGAGTGGGAGGTAGGATGGAAAACAAGATAATTGCTGTAATTCAGAGATGGGTGATGGCGGCTTGGATCACAGTGGAAGCAATGAAGATGGTGTGAAATAAACATTTTAGATATATATTGAAGAGCCAAATAAGTTTTTAATGGATTGGTTATGGAGGTGTGAAAGAAAAGAGTAATTAAGAATGACTCAAGATTTTTGCCCTGAGCAGCTAGAAGGATGAGGCTCCATTAACTGAAATGGGGAGGATACATGAGGAGCAGGTTTGAGGTGTGGGGGTGAATGGACATGTTAACTTTGAGATATCTTGGTTATCAACATCTAAGTTATGGGGAACTTCAAATATTTTTCTGTTGTGATTTAGCATGCAATAGCTCATCATATCAAAATCCATTTACTTTAGGAGAGTCTGTTTCCCACGAGGGAATGAATATATCCCGCCCCCACCCCCCATGACTGTGTTGTAGAGTAAAAAGAGAAGTAGTAGTGAGGGAGGACAAACATTGCCAAAGCTTCTCCAGACAACTCCTAGTATTCTTGGTTATTTGCTTCTCATTTTATTCATCTCCTCTTCTTACCTGTAGTGAGACCCCAATGTACTTGATTTGGGAGGGTTCTATTGCTAAGCACCTGAGGTATGCTTATTTTAAAGGAGCTCGGTGAATATCCCCCCAAGACTAATTAATTGCACCAGGTGGAAATCTTTCTTTTGGAAGCCATTTATTCAGTCCAGGAACAAATTCTCATGGAATCGTATCTATCACAAATCCTTGCTGATTTCTAGAAAAAGTTTTTAAATAATCGTCTTTTATTTTAGCTTCTAAATTACTATATTCTAAGGCCTGTAACCACTTCAATTTTATGCTGCAGGTGACCCAATGAAAGAAGAAAATGAAAGGCATTAAGAAAAGTCTTACAGAAGAATACCTATACTTGGACTTTTCTCACCAAATAGAAGGATGCATCTTTCCTCTTCATACATCTGTAACTTTGTTTTTGTTGTCATACTGTGACTGCAAAATCTTTAAAGTTTGCTTAGTCCTCACTCGAGCAAGTACAGATATTTCATTAAAAAATGTAGTGCTCCAGGATGTTGAACTACAAATTATTTCAAGACAAGAGCTTCCACCAATAGTCCAGAATTGCTGTTTACCTGCAGTAGTGGAAAAACCAGACAATTTCTGTAGAGCAGGACTTGCTGTCGTACTGAGACACATAATCCAGAAATCATACGAAGCTGACCCTTCCAAGAAGGAAATTTTGGAACTTTTGGGTTTTAAGAAGACTTGCTTGAAAGCCTGTGCTGAAGTAAGTATGATGGCTCTTCTGTTACTTAAAAGCCATAAAGTGATAACACATTCACTTGAACATTTATTTTAACTTTCTGTGGGAGATGAATTAAATCCTGCTTGCTTAAGAAATCTCTAGTCAACAATGAAATAAAGTAGCCCCTCATGTATACCAATACTTGAGGTGCAGCATTGAAAAATAAGAATTCAAGATTTATTTTGTGAGGTTTGGGGACATTATTTTTAGAGAATGACTTCTTTTTTTTATCTTTTGTTTTAATTGAGAACTTTTAAAGGAAATTTTACACATGAATAGGAGCTTAAGTAGCAGTGCTTTGAAAGCCTGACTTTTTTAGGGATGCATGTCCTTCAAAGGCTTTGGGAAGGAAGGATTTATTCAGTAAGAGGATGCAGGAGGATGGCATGTATTCCAGGTATAGGATTGCTAACCTGTTTAGTGTTATCATTTTTAAAGCACTGTAATATGTCCCTTGATATAGCGTAAAAACCTAGTCCAGGGATGGCTCAGCTTCAATTGTCAAAACCAGTCTTATTTCCCAATAGAAAGTTTTCTTCAAGCTATGTGGAAAGTAAAGACTCCCTTCATTTCTTCTGTTATTTTGTTTTGCAGGTTAGTCAGTGGACCAGGCTATGCGAACTCACCATCCCTTTAGCTATTGAGAATTTTCTCAAAGAAGCTTCTGACCAGCACCCAGCTATCCCCGCGGAAATACTACAGTTAGAGAAAAAGCTTAGGGAGCCCGTTAGAGTGCATAATGATGACAAACTCCGTCGGCAGAAGCTGAAGCAACAGAAGGCTGCTGGGGTTGGGCCTTCCCTTGCTAAGGAAAAACCAAAGAGCAAGATGCATAGACAAGAAATGTCTGAAGAGTTGGACTCTTCATCCGAGAGCCTGGAACTGAAGGTGGCATTCTCAAAGCTCACAGTCTGTGAAGAACCAGCTACCACCAACAGGGAGCCTTCTCATATCAGAAAAGCAAAAGCCTCTGACCTTCCGCCTCTGGAGCATGTGTTTGCAGAGGGCTTGTACTTCACTTTGGCAGATATCGTGCTCTTGCCCTGTATCCATCATTTTTTGGTAAGGTTTATTAGGAATGGATATATTACTAGAAGTTTCAGTCTATGAAATTGCTTAGGTTTGCATCCCTATTCCACTTCTTACTATCATCATATTCCTAGGCGAGTAATTAATACCCATCTCCATTTTCTTTAAATTTTTTTATTGTTATGTTAATCACCATACATTACATCATTAGGTTTTGAGGTAGTGTTCCATGATTCATTGTTTGTGCATAACACCCAGTACTCCACGCAGGACGTGCCCTCTTTAATACCCCTCACCAGGCTAACCCATCCCCCCACCCCCTCCCCTCTAGAACCCTCAGTTTGTTTTTCAGAGTCCATTGTCTCTCATGGTTCATCTCCCCCTCCGATTTCCCCCCCTTCATTCTTCCCCTCCTGCTATCTTCTTTTTTTTTTTCTTAGCATATATTGCATTATTTGTTTCAGAGGTACAGATCTGTGATTCAACAGTCTTGCACAATTCACAGCGCTCACCATAGCACATACCCTCCCCAATGTCTATCACCCAGCCACCCCATCCCTCCCACCCCCAACCACCACTCCAGCAACCCTCAGTTTGTTTCCTGAGATTAAGAAGTCCTCATATCAGTGAGGTCATATGATACATGTCTTTCTCTGACTTATTTCACTCAGCATAACACCCTCCAGTTCCATCCACATTGTTGCAAATGGCAAGATCTCATTCCTTTTGATGGCTGCATAATATTCCATTGTGTATATATACCACATCTTCTTTATCCATTCATCTGTCGTTGGACATCTTGGCTCTTTCCACATTTTGGCTATTGTGGACATTGCTGCTATAAACATCGGGGTGCACATACCCTTTCGGATCCCTACATTTGTATCTTTGGGGTAAATACCCAGTAGTGCAATTGCTGGATCGTATGGTAGCTTTATTTTCAACTTTTTGAGGAACCTCCATACTGTCTTCCAGAGTGGTTGCACCAGCTTGCCTTCCCACCAACAGGGTAGGAGGTTCCCCTTTCTCTGCATCCCCGCCAACATCTGTCGTTTCCTGACTTGTTAATTTTAGCCATTCTGACGGGTGTGAGGTGGTATCTCATTGAGGTTTTAGATTTGGATTTCCCTGATGGCGAGCGATGTTGAGCATTTTTTCATGTGTCTGTTGGCCATTTGGATGTCTTCTTTGGAGAAATGTCTGTTCATGTCTTCTGCCCATTTCTTGATTGGATTATTTGTTCTTTGGGTGTTGAGTTTGATAAGTTCTTAATAGATTTTGGATACTAGCCCTTTATCTGATATGTCATTTGCAAATATCTTCTCCCATTCTGTCACTTGTCTTTTGGTTTTGTTGACTATTTCTTTTGCTGTGCAAAAGCTTTTTATCTTGATAAAATCCCAGTAGTTCATTTTTGCCCTTGCTTCCCTTGCCTTTGGTGATGTTTCTAGGAAGAAGTTGCTGCGGCTGAGGTCGAAGAGGTTGCTGCCTGTGTTCTCCTTTAGGATTTTGATGGACTCCTGTCTCACACTGAGGTCTTTCAACCATTTTGAGTCCATTTTTATGTGTGGTGTAAGGAAATGGTCCAGTTTCATTCTTCTTCATGTGGCTGTCCAATTTTCCCAACACCATTTGTTGAAGAGACTGTCTTTTTTCCATTGGACATTCTTTCCTGCTTTGTCAAAGATGAATTGACCATAGAGTTGAGGGTCCATTTCTGGGCTCTCTATTCTTTTCCATTGATCTATGTGTCTGTTTTTGTGCCAGTACCATACTGTCTTGATGATGACAGCTTTGTAATAGAGCTGGAAGTCCGGAATTGTGATGCCGCCAGCTTTGCTTTTCTTTTTCAACATTCCTCTGGCTATTCAGGGTCTTTTCTGGTTCCATACAAATTTTAGGATTCTTTGTTTCATTTCTTTGAAAAAAGTGGATGGTATTTTGATGGGGATTGCATTGAATGTGTAGATTGCTCTAGGTAGCAATTGACATCTTCACAATATTTGTTCTTCCAATCCATATTGACATCTTCACAATATTTGTTCTTCCAATCCATAAGCATGGAACGTTTTTCCATTTCTTTGTGTCTTCCTCAATTTCTTTCATGAGTATTTTATAGTTTTCTGAGTATAGATCCTTTGCCTCTTTGGTTAGATTTATTCCTATGTATCTTATGGTTTGGGGTGCAATTGTAAATGGGATCGACTCCTTAATTTCTCTCTCTTCTGTCTTGCTGTTGGTGTATAGGAACGCCACTGATTTCTGTGCATTGATTTTATATCCTGCCACTTTACTAAATTCCTATATGAGTTCTAGCAGTTTTGGGGTGGAGTCTTTTGGGTTTTCCACATAAAGTATCATCATCTGCAAAGAGTGAGAGTTTGACTTCTTTGCCGATTTGGATGCCTTTGATTTCTTTTTGTTGTCTGATTGCTATGGCTAGGACTTCTAATACTATGTTGAATAGCAGTGGTGATAGTGGACATTCCTGCCATGTTCCTGACCTTAGGCGGAAAGCTCTCAGTTTTTCCCCACTGAGAGTGATATTCGCTGATGGTTTTTCATAGATGGCTTTTATGATATTGAGGTATGTACCCTCTATCCCTATACTCTGAAGAGTTTTGATCAAGAAAGGATGCTGTACTTTGTCAAGTGCTTTTTCTGCATCTATGGAGAGGATCATATGATTCTTGTTCTTGCTTTTGTTAATGTATTGTTCACGTTGATTGATTTGCGGATGTTGAACCAACCTTGCAGCCCAGGGATAAATCCCACTTGGTTGTGGTCCTATCTCCATTTTCTTATCTGTAAAAGAGAGATCATAGTACCTATCTCATACGATCAGTGTGAAGAAGAAATGACAATCTGTGTGAAGTGTGTGGCATGTAGTAAGCTCTCAATAAATCTTAGTCATTATTACAACTTTTAATTTTGAGTCACTAAAATTTTGGCAATTGTTATTATTAATTTCAAATTGCTCTTGCAATTACCTTCAAATATTAGAGGTTCCAGTATTTAACACTAAAAAAGTCTTGCCAGCTATATTTTATAATTAAGTAGTTGCTTAAAATACTAATTATATTATGTTAGGCATTATTAAATCGGAAATATTTTATCATTGTGTCTGTGTATCTCTGTCCCTTATAAGATTACATTCAGTTGCTGGCTATGCTATTCAGTGTCGTGGGAGAATATAAATGGAAAGTTTTCTTCCTTGGTATGCGTGTGTGTGTGTATTCTTTTTCCTCTCTGTGGAGGAAAAAAGAACAAGGTAAAAATAATATTATCCTGAACATGGAAAACTGTAGCTCTCTGCAGCTTTCCAATTGGTTTTTAAGAGCTGCATTGTTCTTGCTTTGAAGCATTTCACCCTTTCTCCTAAAAAGGAATCAGATACAGATTTCATTCTCATATATCACCAACACTTCAGGTATCTCTACAGACAAATGAGAAATGATTTCTAATGAAAATCTATTTGGAGGCCAGTGCTTATAAGAAGTTAGGTGGTATTAATTAATTGGCATTTTCTTAACATTTCTAAAATAACTTCGGAATTAAAGGACGTGAAAAAGAGATTTGGGAATTGTTTAGATGTTGATTAGTATTTTAAATGTCATATGTATTCAGAGTATCCACGGAGCTGGGTGGGGAGAAAACATCAACTTTTTTTTTTCTAGTCAAATGATTTCTAAATTCTCTTACCCCTGACCTTCCCCTTTATTACCAACTTCAGTCATTAGAGCAGTTATTTGATACATATTATGAAATACTGTTGGTGTTCGTGGCTTCTTGGTCTTCTTGGATAACTGTGTTTGTTTTTAATTTTGTAAGAATTGAATCAAAGCGGCACATCCACTAATTGATTCATTTGAGAAACTTACTGAAAGCCTACTGTGTATATAGCAGTTACTGTTGTAGGCACTGGAAATAGAGTGATGAACAAAACAGATAAAGTCCCAACCCTCACGGAGTTAATACTCTAGTAGGGGAAGATAGAAATGAACAAGTAAACAAATAAATAATATATATTTAAATAGTAGCAAGTGGTACAAAAAAAGTAAAACTGATAGAGAAGATGAGTATCTGCTTTCAAATGCAACAAAACGAATATAAAATTGGATTTAACTGTATGAAGTTGATTCTCGATAATTATCCAAACATACATTTTCAGCTAGTTTGCCTTTGATTTTAGCTTAATTTAAATACTATTTACCTAATTAGGATCAATTGAGGCTGAAGTATTTTTAATTGAGAGGGATTTTTTTCCCCCTCTTCAATCAGGTAGGACATCTACTAACTGCTACTACATAAATTTACATAATACTACTGAAGAGCTGCGCTTAGTTTAAAATAGGGGAAAACATGTATACTCAGCCTTTATTATTACACATATTCTATGATTAAATTTTTCTCTTCTGACATTTATATGTAAACTAATTCTCACAATATTTTCGTTTGCATTTTTCTTGGATCTGGACATTTTCTTTCAGGAATTAATCTTTCTTTGCCAAAGAAAGATACTGTTGATATTGTTTGTTATGTTTATTTTGCTCCTTTAAGTCATCTTGGGTTATGAAGCAGTTGTTTGAGTTCAGGTAGTGGATATGATGCAGAGCATTTGTGCTTGCATTAATACACATTGAGGTGATGGAGGGTGGGTCCAAATGGTCAGACTCAGGATCAAGTTCATGATCAGAAATGAGAGTCAAGTTACTAGGTTTGGATCAGAAACAGAGCCAAACCTAAAGCAAGGATATTTGGCCATAGGAATAAGGCCAACAATATGAAAGAGCAGTCAGTTTTGCTAAGTCAAGGTTTGGAATACCAGAGGTCAAACTTAGAAGAGCTAGGGAAAAAACACAGTTCTGCTAAGCAGAAAAAAGCCAAAGATGCAAAACAGTAGAACGGCCAAGGTGCTGTGTCTGAACTTGCGCCATGCTTTTCTTCCTTTTCAGTGGATATTAATTTGCAAAGTTAACCCAATAGCCCAGCACTTCGTTATGGAAGGTGCCTGACAAAATCCTCTCTTCTGG